ACTCACAAACCCTGAAGCTTTCACATCTTGTGTCTAAGCCAGGCTCATCTTTCAGGCTGTAGGAGGTGGAGCAAACACGCCTCCCGCTGAGCCAAAAGGAGAAACTTCAGTCAGATGGAAATCCATGGCACTTTCGCCATCAGGTGAAAGCCGCTCCCGAAGTTTCTGCTATGCTTTCGGCATATTATCATCTCAGAGCCATCTCATTCACGAAAAGCAATTATTCTGCCACCCTTCACTTGGTGAAGCTGAACGATGGAAGCATAGTGAAATTGTTTGTCCAGTTCATTATTCGGCCTCCCTTGCTGCAAATACGATGTGCCTAGCAGTTGTTCAAAGAACGGGTCGACGCGAAAGTCATACAGTAGAACCTCTCCGAATCTGCTGCCGTCATGCACACAATCATGCCTATATCCGCATGGTTTGCCCCTGAGCAGCACCAGGCTGCTTCGCATCGTCCGCGCGCTAAAGCTGCGCCGAGCACACGAAGCCCTCCAGGTCGGCAGTTGAAGGGCTCAATTTAGGACAAGGACTATAATGCATAGGGATCATATTTGTCTAGGGGTTTTAATGGAATACACAGTCAAGTGCTTGGGCTTCAGGATTAAGGGGAAGGGCTCTTTGACCTGTAATATCAAGCATGGAGAGCCACCTGGAAAAGAACATGGAAACTTAAACGGAAAAGACATTTTTCTCTTACCGCGTTTAGGGGTTTTAGGTTTACCGGGCTCTGGGGCCTTAGTGCAACGGTTATTTGAAGTTTTGGAGTTGTGGGGTTCAAGCTTTTGGGGCTGAGAGGCTTACGGTGTAAGGCTTCAATTCTTGCATTGCTGTCTTGCCTAGGAAAGAGGGTTCGTGAGATTCCAACAGCTCCCGATGATAGCATTACATTCCTCTATCGATGAATCTTCGAAGAGTATCTGTTACTTAACTAGTCCCAGGAAAATTTCCGCCTTGCTTCGCTGGTGTCATGAGATGCTGGCTTGGAATATATATATATGTGTATATCCCTTGGCTTGTCTGCATGAGGTTTAAAGCCAACACGTGTTGGCTTTAGCTTTTGGCTTTGTCAACCTAAATAAGGGCGTTTTACTTCAAGGTGGAAGTTCAAGGTGGAAGATATCTCATTATGAGGGGTGGTCTTTCTTATCCAAGCCCTATTTTGACCCACTGCCATTTTTGGGCTGCTGTGTTACCTGGAGATTCCGCGCAGGGTTTGCAGTAGGATGGTTCACGCCGGCATGTATCTGGGGTCTGCGCGTGGATATTCAGAACTACGTATTCACCCGCGTACTTTGTAGTTCGATCCCGGGGCTTTGGAGAACGAAGCATAGCGAATCCTTCGTGAAAGTAAGGGAATTGGAGGGCTCAAGTTGGGAATGCACTCGCAGCAGTGCGGATGCATCAGCCCTCGACTTGTTTCAAGGATTGTGGTACGTCGAAGCTTCTTTGGGTGGTTCGAGTGGGCATTACCGGGAGACTTTTACCGAGCCCCAAGATCTTCCCAAACCTCCTTTCCTACTACCAGTTCCACGGAGCCTCTAATCCGCTTTATGTGACATTTTGTCAGAATATAGTCCCGAGGAACTCGGATCCTGCTGCCATGAACTCTAGTTTTGAGAGGTCCAGCAACAAAGATTTTTTGACAACAACTTTGGTCCCTCAACGGTCTCGGGGTCTCTTCGGTCCCCAACACAAACAACACTGGCTTGGACGAGGCCGCTCTTGCCTTAATTCTCAGCGTTCCCAAGTGTAGAGGTTTGAAGGCCAAGGCTTACCGTGGCGTTCCATCCACGTTGCAGATGAATTGCCTCACATTCTTCCTGCTGGGCCCAGTCAGGTCTCTAGACTTCTTATACAGTGCGTTTGCGTGGCAAGCAGGCAGGTTGCATACTACAAATCTGAAGTTTCTAAGGGCCAGAAGTCTCTACTTCATTGCCGCTTGTGACCTCTTTGGAACCGCAGGATAGGAAAATCAGCAGCCTCCCTTGTCCCCAGCCACTCTCTGGCCAGGACTTGCTGCACTCGCAGGCGCCTGGAAAGAGCAGATTAATTTGGCATACTCTAGTCTCCGTTTTTCTTCTAGCAGTGGTAGGAGGACATTGCTTTTCTGCTTCCGAAACAGAAGGGTCAACATCTTTGAGGGCCCCTGATAACAGCATAGAGGACACGGCCTACAACACATGGGGTGTACTGAAAGGTCTTCCAGGGGTTCATTGATTTGGCCTTCAGTTTTTGAGGCCCCAAACCCTGGGATACCTACTTAGATGCAAGCCCCTAAACTGTTTCTCTAAACCCTGATGCGCAACAGCGCTGAACAGACTCGTGTCATGGAGGTCAAGAGCTAAGCGATGTTGGTGGATTTGGGTTTCAAGGTGCTGTCGCTGCTTTAGGAACTTTATATACTCTCAACCAAGTGCCGGCACCGCTGATGCAGGGCCCCAGCTACGTCGTTTGTAAGTTTGCTCGGGTAGCGTGGGGGTTGTTTTTTGTCAAGCCTGCGATCAAGCATCTTGTAGTTCTGCCTTTAAAGAGTTTTAATTAAACTTGCGAATTTTAATGAACAATGTCTGAAAGACTGTGGGTTTTCCTACCGGCACTTTGCACTTTCATTGCTTCACCCCCTTCACCAGCCAACTCCATCTACAGGAGCAGACCTGCGCCGCACCCTGATAACAAGCATGCGTTTGATAATTTTTTAGACTCTAGACAGTACGAGAGATGGATTTCAGGGCTCGGGGTCTTCTTCCGAACGGGCCTTAAAACATGGGGTGTCCCAATACATCAACTGGAAACCTTGACATACTGAAAGCGCTTTTCTTGCAGCAGCTGTCAACTCATCTGAGGATTTAGCCAAATCAGTGTGATACAACTTCCAGTATTAGTACATTTGTGTAGGTCAGCTCCCAGGTGAAGCCTTGAGTCCTTGGTGTTGCAGAGGGACTGGGACTGTGCCACACTCGTCGCTAGCAGCCCACTAACAAAGAGATGCAAGGCGACCGCAAGAGCACTTTGGATCATGTGCCCCCTACGCTAAGCCCCACAATCCCTGTCGTGGCACTTGGCCCTTCTATCTTACACCATCCACAGCCCAAGGTCTAAGTCTAAGTATGGGTGCAAGGGTGTGGGAGGGATGGCTGAGGTAAATGAGGTACAGGGTTTATAGTTCTGTGTTTTGACTTCAGTCACCGTCACCAGGCAGCAACCCTGTACCTCAGCGTCTAGGCTGCACCAGGTCCAAGACGGTTTGAACAGGGCATAGGGCTTACTACAACGCAGGAGGACAGGCTTGGGTTGAGGGCAAGTAGATCTTTCTCCTGGGTAGCTTCAGGGCAAGTCAGGATGTTAGGGTGTGGCTAGAAAGGAATGCCCGTGATCGAGTTTTGGGTATTTGAGACGAGACCTCAGAGTCTCTCCCGTAAACTCGGTAGCTGCAACTAGAGCCATCAGGCAGGGGTCACCAGAGGCTTCTGGTCAAGAGAATAAATTAGACTGTAGCTCCTATGATTTTGTAGGGACCCCGTTTTCCAGAATTACTTATGTGGCAGTTTTCGAAGTGGAGGAAGGCTTGAGGACTGTGTGATCCTGGACCTCAATCCGCGTGGCCCTTTCCAGATCCCATCACTGTGCAAACTGACACCTTCCCTACACAGGACGGAAGTCTCTTGAACTAGGGCATGTTTTGGATGTTCTATGATATCTACCATGGTAAGTACATCCCTGAGATGAGCGAGGAGTAAGGGAATGGAATCCTATAGCAGTCACAGATTTTCCCTTTCCATGCTCGATTATTCCATTCCTTCGTTCCGTACTAGACAACAGAGAAAGGCTGGTTCAGCTCAGTGAGCCTCACCAATGCCAAAGGTCAAGGTCTTTTAAGGCTTTTGTTCCGGCGGTTTACTCCACACCAAGAACATGACCTGAAGTCCATCCCAACCATTGCTACAAGCAACAAACGAGGCTACACCTTATCTTGACTAACCTCGGAAGCTCCCGCACGACACGCCTGAAATTATGGGTTTAGCAGCATCCTAGCGGACGATTTGCTGTGCGGCTTTGACAGGTACTAGCACAAATGAGAGGAGCTTGATTTACCTCTTGGCCCCAAGCCCTAAACTGTTAGGTCTTTTGAAGGCTTCATCAATGGACTTATGCAAATCAGGGTCATCTTGTCCCCAGGGTATCCACAATGTCCAAAAAAAGGCCTGGACACCTCGGGCTCAAATCCCTGAACTCTCAGGTCTTTGCAGCAGCTTGATGTATCTCCTGGTGTTGAACCACCTGATCGCCTGTGCCTGGCAACTTGTTTGCTATACTGTTGCCCGTTTCATGCAGACATGCGGCATGCAGTTTTTCCATGTGTGGACTGCCTCAGTGGGGCACGAGGAACCAGATAAAGATCCTGACTGGGTTTGAACTGCGCTTCATCTGTTTTCACTGAACAAACTCCGGCATGATCCCTGGCAAGTCTTAAGTACATTGAGCGACCGTTCCTCGCAGAGCTTTTGGTGTAAGACGTCCTGCAGGTGTAGTCCTTGAACAGCGGTTCCAAACCTGAGAGGCCTAAGAGATATGCTCTAAACATGGGTGATCTCTGGGTGATCTCTACATGAGGATCCCCAAGTAGAAAACCCCTAGGTTTGGCGTCAGCTGGCTGAATTCCCGCAACTGGGTGGTGGACGCATCACTGCAGGAGGCGCCCACTAGTTGAGGGTGAAACGCAGCAGGAGGATGAGAGCAGCAGGCAATGGACTCCGTACAGCCATATAGTCTTGGGCCCAGTTCGCATTTTGGGGTTTTACGTTTACCTTGCAAAACAATATGGTGACCGGCCAACAGCGATAAGCCTATGTCATGCGTCCCGCTTGACAAGATGCAACTCCTGTATGCGAGTCCAATGCAGCATTTGGCTTCAAAGCTCCTGCTGAACTGTTGGGCTGCCATGTCGGTGCCGCAACAGCGCCATCCGAGACCAAGCTCGTTTTAGCGTGTGCGAGAAGGAAGTTGAGGGTGATGCCTGGAAGAGGGGCTACAGGCAGGATCCGACATGGCGCCGGGCGGCGCCAGCACCTGGAGAATCCAGTAAGATCCTGCGGAAGTACCGCTCACAACTGGCTGCGGCAGGCATTGCCATGCGGCCCAAGCGGACATTGAAGTTCGAGAAGATGGCAGCCAGAGATGAGCTGCGGTTGCAAGACGCAATCGCAACCAGCCACGAAAAGCGGCAGGCAGCCAAGGACGGCCGAACAGAGCCCAACCTGGATGGCTCAGACCTTGAGCTCTGAAAACACCCCTTGTGCAAGTCACAGCTAGCCTTGCGTGCTTGGCCTCATTTGTGACAGTGCTGTATTCCCAGTAAAATTATGCCTTGCGGAATCATCTCTTCCTGTCACAAGTTGCGGGCGGCACACCAGGCCAGCGTTGCTTGCATGCTTCTACATGCAGACACTCAGATTGCGGCTTGTATGTACGCAACAAATTGATAGCTTCTGCCAATCATCTACAGGAGTGGGGCCACTCAGTTCTGCAAAGGAGTTTCAACCATTGACCTGACGTAGGCGACTTGTACGGGTCTATGGCTTCAGCATGCTGCAGGCTTTGCAATGAAATGCACCACCTGTGAGCGTCAAATTTGCAAGCTTTTGAGATCCCAGGCTCGAGGACCCACATGCAGCAATCTTCTACCATTTGCAAGGTCTTGCTCCATTTCTCACAAGCATTTTTTTATGGTTAGTCCTCCAGCTTCCCAAAACCTTGCGAATCGATAACATTCTTCATGCGAAGCAGGCGACCGTCCAAAAACGATAAGAATAATGAACGCTGGAAGGGCTGATTCTAGAGTTTTGCCGATGGCTCATGACTGCCGCTGCTGCTGCTGAGTCATGCACAGATGACCAACAGCTTCCCAAGCACACAGCCTGACTGCAAGTTCTCCAAATCTTGGAAGCACCTTACACTCTCTGCCACACACTGTTTTGCAAGTCGTGTGGCTGCCTGGTTGCTCCTGTTTTGCGCAAGCTGCAAGGTCTGAGGGGGAAGATGGGTTGTCTGCTGAAGATTTACAAGAAAAGAACCATCTGGCGCACTGAGCGCTGAGAACGCAGCAAAAAGGTCTAAAAGCTGCTTTACCATTAGACGTTGGTCGCGGAAGTAATTACGTCAGAGAGGCTATTGGCTAGGCTATTGGCTAGGTAGGCGGGGTTGGGATGAGGCTGAAGACTTTTATGGAAGAACTGGCAATAGAAGTAGCAGTAGGACAAGCATTTCGCATTCCAACGCGTCCGTCGAATTCAATCACGCTTTGGCGGGCAAGTGCGACAGAAACCAGATCTAAGTCCCTAAATGTGCAAACAGACGCTACAATCAAGCAGGCCAAAAAGGTCACACAATGTCCTTGCGTGTTTCCACGGCTGGGCTGTTCTCAAGGTTCGTACCTGAAAAAGGTTATTGTTTCAGAAAGATTGATTTTTCGCATGCTCTGGAGGCTGCAGGTACTGCCACTGCCACTGCTACTTCCACGGGCTTCCGCTACTGCGACGACGACTACTGCGACTGCTGCTACTCTTACTGCTGCTGCGGTGCTAACAAACATAGCTATGACCAAGGGAGCTCTGGTCGCAAAACGGTTCGTCGTGATAGTGGCCGTGACAGGGTGCCGAGCAAGGCATAGCAGAAGACAAGCATAGGGATACGTTTCTCTGGGTTTGTCACTGTTTGTTGTCCTCTTTGTTTTTCTTCACTTCATTAACGTTTTTGGAGTTCTCGCGGCTTTGGATACATGCAACATTGCGCTCAAGAATCAACTCGAGCATTGCATTCCTGCGTACATCAAAGTCAAGAAGAGCAACTGGAATAGATTACGGAATCGCAATTGCAAGGCTCATTGCTGATGTTCCTTAAGAACATTTGGGCCCCCTGGTTTGAACAACTCTTGTCATTAGAGAAATTTCTCGGAAAAGGAATTCTCAATTCGTTATCTCTGACTTCAAAGCAGGCGAGCCTTCTCTGAGCCTGGACAGCGTAGTCCCGCCCCTGTACAACTCTGTACACAAACCCGGCCAGAAGTGATCCCCAGTCCTACCACAGACACAACCATACAGGAGAAGGCTGGGGTGACCCCGGGCAGGCAAGCTTTGAAAACACAAAAATGTTGAAACCCTTAAGCCATCATAGCTAACAAACGAACTTGGTACGTTTTTCAGTGTGCCTGGGTGTCATCCTTGCGCAGTGGTCCCGCTTTAAACAAGTCATCTTATCATGAACGCATCAATCCTGAACCGGAACAGCGTAACCCCGACCCTGTATAACGTTGTACATAAACCCGTCCAGAAAAGAACCTCAATCCCAACACAGACACTTCCTAAAAGGAAAAACCCTTAAGCCATCGTAGGACGTGATCGAATTTGGTACATGTCTCAATGTACCTGGACGTCATTCTTACGCAGGGGGCTATGCTCGGAAGATTGATTTGCGCTGTCTTCCTCTGGGCAAAATCAAGGCAATGGGTAAAATCAAAGCGCTCAGAAACTGGGTGAAATCAGAACTGTGCAGCTGTGTAGGGTGCATTCAAAGAGGACAGGCGTCGTCAAAGAAGGTGTGTCAGCGCCTGCGATGCAAGGGCAGGACTGGCCCTTTGTCAGAATTACCAGCCGCAAACACAGATAGGGATATGCCTCTCTGGGTTTGTCACTGTTTCTGGTCCTCTTTGTTTTTCTTCACTTCATTAACGTTTTGGAGTTCTCGCGGCTTTGGATACATGCAACATGGCGCTCAAGAATCAACTCGAGCATTGCATTCCTGCGTACATCAAACTTTCGCAAGGCTCATTGTTGATGTTCTTTGGGAACATCTGGATTGTGAGGTGGGTGGTACAAGTTGGCTTGCAAAGACAATAACCCACTGCAGGTACGTTGTCAGGACGTCTCCTGAGAATTTCAGCGTCCACATGGAAGCTTCTTCGTTGGGCTAGCACTTCGATGTGACATCCACCCCCGTGTTTTGAACAACTCTTGTCATTAGAGTAACTTCTTGGAAGCAGAATTGCCACACGCACACGCCAGTTCGTTTCTTCACCAAGGGGCAGTGCCGATCTTGATGCTTCAATTTGGTTGGCTCAACAACAGGAAACCCAAAGAGCCATTGTCCAGTGGGCTTTAGCAGCAACTTAAGTCCAGCACGATTATCCAAATTCAGAGAAACACCAGCTAGCGTGGGCGTAGCTGTTTGATGATGAGGATGATGATGATTATATAATATATGTACATATCACCACATACATATATATGTATTTGTCTACTATTTACATACTGGAAGCAAAAAGATTGGCCCTGGTTTCTGACACTGGTTGGTTGTCGCGTTTTTCTGATCAGGCAGATGCGCGGGTATAAGCTTCAAGGGGTGCTGATCTGTGATTTTGTTGTATAGGTTGATCATCTTGTTTGTCCATTTCGAACAATAATGATTGTTGACTTAAATGTTGTACACAGTGTTCTTTGCTTCCCCCGAACTGCCGTGCAAGCTCATGCGGGAGGTTCAAGGAACAGACTTATTGTCCTCCTTTTCTGATCGGCGTGTGCTTGGGGGAGTTTAGCTTCGAGCCTTTCCGCCGTGGAAGTTTCATGTTACAAAGCACGGAAGGATGTATGACCAGTTTGATATTTTCTAAATGAACGTGGTGCTTGCGCGGAGGTCTCCAAAATAATGAGAAGAAGGATCCTCATTTCGAGAAGTATCCTGAATTCAGCTCAACTATCAGGAATTGCGAAAGCATTCAGAATGTTAGGATGGTTCTTAGAGGCTCCAGGAACATCAGGAAGATTGAAGGACGATTGCGAGCACCCAATGCTGCACAATTAAGATTTCAGAAGAGTTACTGCGTGGAATCCATGAAATCAATTGCTCGAACCATGTCAACTAGAATTCCCTGTGTCCGTAGACTTCTCTTGACCCTTACGAGCCCTTTGCATCCCGTTACGAAGCTCCTTGCTCCCTCAGTCAAATCGCGGCCCAAAACTTCAAATCCTCCGGTTGTATTCTTCGGCCGCTGCTTTAATCTTTACAGGCGGATGCTGGGCTCCAGTACCTTTCTTCGCTGAATTGGGCCTTCGCGCAATTGGGTGTTGGCTCGAGCCATGCCAAACCGCAAAACAGCTTCTCGGATGTCTCAGGCCTACTGTGTGTATCATAAGATTTGCGAGAGTGGTTGGAAGGCTTGTCTTAGCAAAGGTAAAACGGTTGTACGGATGCAAGGGCTGAGCGGTGCAAGATTTGTGCTTCCATTTGCGGTTTGACTGTGCCGGTTGTCAGGGCTTACAATTTCGCAGTGCAGCGTGTGGGTGTCAAGCTTGGTTTGCTTAGTTTAGGGTCTGGGGTACCTCGTTTTCATCTGTGGTACCGAGGCTGCTTACACAACCCCAAGCGTAATGCCGTGAAGCGCATCTTTCAGGCACGAGGGTGGTACCCCCCATTCAACATAAGCCGCTCCTATCATGAGCCTACTGCGAGTAGCGGTTCTACCCCGATAGCCAGGCAGGAGGGTTCTGGTCCGCACTTCTCAATGTTTTGTTGTCTGACAGAGGAGTTCAGGACGATTCTTATGTGCCTTCGGTCTTTGGGTAGCCTCGGCCTTCACGAGGGTCGTGAGCCATTGCTGTCGCCAAAGTGTTTTTGCTGTGAGGTGACCACATAGACCCCAAACCTTAAACCCCAAAATGCTAAACATCAAGCCTGCAGCCAACAACTGGTCCACGCAGCACAGCTCATGCGCCCAGGTCTCGAAACGGCATTTTGCGTATCTTGGCAGCTTTAGCAGGATCCAGCTTTTTTGAGACGGGGCCTTGCGCACTGCCCTTCCAGAATGCGCGACCTGATCCATAGCGTGATGCATCGCGCACATGAAACACCATTACTTATCCTGTGTGAACAGCAATCTAGGGGCGCGTGGCCTCGGAGAGTAAACTCAGAGCGGGTTGGGGAGGTCTGGGGTCCATGGCTTACAAGTCATGAAGCTCAAGTTACATGATCTGAGTCGACAAAAGCAGCGCAGGGCGTAGAATGTGGTTAGGGCTTGGCATCTAACAGTCAAGATGGGAATGAGGATTGGCTCACTTGGCTCCGGTTTCCATGAACCCGCTTTGTACGCCACGGAGCTGTGGTAGCCTTGAACTGAGAAGTTTCTTCGGTACGAGCTACCAGCCCAAACTCACTGTCCTCATAGCAAGTCCCTCTCAATCATCAGTGTGGCCGCGGTGCCGTGATGTTGCCGCGCAGGATGGCCGAATAGTGC